GGTGTAAGCAAAGTTTATATATTTTATTTTTTAATCATTTTAAAAATGCATTTATTTCACCACACTTGTGCTTACCCAGATATTAAATTGAGAATGCAGATTCATGTTTTTCATCTGCAGAACAATTTACAGTAGCACTACTTCTTTTGAGCAAACAGTAAAGTACCGCAAATTCCCATATACAGTAAATGACTGTAAATTGTATTAAAATACCTATAATTCAGTGCATATTACAGTAATTAACCATAAAACATATATATGGTAGTTTACTGGGCTTTTTTGCGGTAAGTAACTGTAAAATTACAGCAAGTCTAACAGTCTCCGCAAGAGACTTCCACAGCAGAATTACAGAGGCTACACAGCAAAATGCAAACCTCTGATCAGCAGCAAACATAGAAAGGCAAGATTAGAGTTTGCAAAAAAGCACAAAGGTGAGCCAGCAGAATTTTGGAACCGTTTTATGGACATGGTGATAGCAGAATGAATGCAGAAGTGTACAAAAACATCTTGGTTACCAATGTTCAAGGAAATGCCACAAGATTCATCAGAAATTACTTAATATTGGAACAGGACAATGACCCAAAAACACCCTGCTAGTTCAGTCAAGGAGTTTATCAGGGCAAATAAATGGAAGGTTTTAGATTGCCCAAGTCAGATTTAAATCATATGAACATGAATTTCACTAGCTAAAGAGGAGACTATGGCAGAAACTCCCCAAACCAAGCAACAGTTGAAAATGGCTGTATTAAAGGCTGGGAAAGGCATTTCAATGGATGAAACCAAGAGTCTGATGATGTCTATGAGTGGCAGACTCACTACTGTGATTGCATACAAGGGATTTGTAACTAAATATTAGCTTTTAAACTTTTACAGTTGCTTTAAGTTCAACTGTCCAACTCTAAAAGTGCTGTCCTTTTTATTTGGTAAAACATTAATGTGTTGAAACAGCTAATAATAAAATGTGACATTCTGTAGTTTTGTCTCATATTCATCTTTTAACCATATTTGCAGATGTCTTGACTCCAGAGTAGACAAAGCAATTTTGTCATTACTGTCCCAATACTTATGGAGGGCACTGTATATATAAAGGTAATTGCAACTTTATCTCACAATTCTGATTTTTTTTTCTGACATTTTTTTTTTTCAGAATTTAGATATAAACTCACAATCGTAGAATACAAGCTTGCAATTCTGAGAAAAAAAGTCTAAATTGTTAGAAAATCACATTTACCTTCATTCCAAAAAAAAAAAAAAAAGTAAAACGTTTGCTCAGAATTGACTTCTTTGCCCTCATAATTACCCGTTTATATCTTGCAAATTTTTTTGTTTACATCTGGAAGAAAAACAAACAAACAAACAAAATCTGAATTATGAGAAACTCAGAAGTGTGAGAAAGAACTGAAGCTTTGTAAAAAAGTCATACAGATTTGAAATGACAAAAGCATGTAAATACTGACACAAATTCATTTTGGTGTGATCTTACCCTTTAAATTTTCTCTTTTAGCTGTGTCTTTCTGTACATTTCTTGTTGTAAGTCACTATCTCTTTAATTAATCTGTCCCGCTGTGCTCTAGGCAATATGACAGGAAGTTGCCAGTTGTAGGCGAGACGTAAATTGAAATGTTGCTTTTTTAACATTGTTATGATGATACAACTCTGTGGAAAATGGAGGGTGGATATGTTACTGCCACCCTAGCAATTCTCACATTTCTGATGTTGGCCTGTGACTGATGTCATGTCACGAAAGATCTCCCTAAATTTTGATAATTCCAGTAAAAACTAAAGATGGCCAGTTAAGGGGATCTCAGTGCTGTTGCTTTTACTGTATTTCCTGTAAGTAGTTTCCATAAATCATTATCTAGACAGCAAACATTAAATACTAAGCCCACTGGCAAATACATCATTATACTAAATGTGAATGCTTTTGCTGAATCAGCATGGGCATGGTTAATTATATAACAAATATTCAGCAAAGGCAGTATGTGATATGGAGATGAGGAGAGTAAGCTTTACAGAGCTAGCAATCTTGACAGAAGAGTGAGTCTGTTGCAGGTGAATCTGCTGACGGGCTGTAGATAAGAGTAATGAAATGATCGCTATCGGGTGGAGAGTTCATTTCTTCGATGTCCTGAGCATATGAGGCGTGTGTTTCTTCATATAATCATACAATATAACCAGTGGTGTATAAAGTACCTGAAAGCCATACTCAAGTAAAAGTACAGATATCCTACCAGAAAATGACTTTGGTAGAAGTTGAAGTCACCGTTTAGAATATTACTTGAGTAAAAGTCTTAAAGTATGTGATATTTATTGTACTTAAGTACGAAAAGTATTGAAAGTAAAAGTACTAAACGTATTAAAAGTATTAAACGTACTTAAGTATTGAAAGTAAAAGTACAAGTAAATGCAAAATGGAAAAGAAGCAAATAAATAAATATTTTTGCCGTCTACAATTTAGAATGCTTGGAATTTTGAGTTTTAATAGACTATTAAATCAACGTGTGTGCACTCTGTGTGTGATTTGGTGATATAGCCTACTTGATAATGTCAGATCACACATCATTACAACAACACTTACCATATTATCGCAGACGTTGCTTTGTATCGCACATCCCAGACTCGACTTGAGTGGAAAATGAATCATCCGCGGTTGTGCGCGCACTTGTTTGCACGTGAGCAAAGGTGTTTTTAGGAGTCTAACTTGCAAGCGCCAGACCACTGATTCGTCAAACCTGCTTTCTATTAAATCAACGTGTGTGCACTCTGTGTGTGATTTGGTGATATAGCCTACTTGATAATGTCAGATCGCACATCATTACAACAACACTTACCATATTATCGCAGACGTTCGCACACCCCAGACTCGACTTGAGTGGAAAATGAATCCTCCGCGGTTGTGCGCGCACTTGTTTGCACGTGAGCAAAGGTGTTTTAGGAGTCTAACTTGCAAGCGCCAGACCACTGATTCGTCAAACCTGCTTTCCTGCAGTCCGTGTTCTTCTGACTTCTGACTATTTTGTAGTAAGTAACGAATATGCTTCGGGGAAATGTATCGGAGTAAAAGTATACATTTTAATTAGGAAATGTAGTGGAGTAAAAGTTGGCTGAAATATAAAAACTCAAGTAAAGTACAGATACTCCCAAAATATACTTAAATACTGTAACGAAGTATTATTACTTTGTTACATTACACCACTGAATATAACGTATTGTGACGGCCATGTAGAACACCACACAAGTCATATGTGGATTTAAATCACCCTAACGAATAAGCAAACAGCACACATCAACTAACTTTAGACTATATGGAACTTTAGACTTTAGACTGTATAGATGAGTGCACACTTCTGCAGCTGTTTTACCTGTTAACCAGTTTTTGAGTTCTTGAGGTGGAAAATAAAAATCATTAATCTCTGCACAGTTCTTTGCACTGCCACATTTATTCATTTTTGTAGTAGTTTAGATATTAATGTAATGTAATATAATATAGTTTTAACTTTTTTTCTATTTTGATATATTTTAAAATTTAATTTATTCCTTTTATTGCAAAGTTTAATTTTCAGCAGTCATTACTCCAGTCTTCAGTATCACATGATCCTTCTAATATAAAATGATTGTAATATGCTGATTTGTTGCTCAAGAAAAAATTTATTATTATTATCAATGTTGAGAAGAGTTGTGCTGCTTAATATTTTGTAGATTTATTTATTTTTATTTTTCAGTATTATTTTATGAATAAAAATAATAGAACAGCATTTATTTGAAATAGAAACATTTTGTAACTTTATACATACATGCCTTTACTGTCAGTTTTGAGAAATTTAGTTTTCTTGCTAAATAAAATTATTAATTTATTTAAAATAAAATGTTACTAATCATAAACCCTTAAAGGAGACATATTATGCTCCTTTTTACAATATGTAATATAAGTCTCTGGTGTCCCCAGAATGTGTCTGTGAAGTTTCAGCTCAAAATACTCCACAGATCATTTATTATATCATTTTGAAAATGCCTATTTTGAGTGGAAGCAGAAACACGCTGTTTTTCGGCCCTGTCTCTTTAAATGCAAATGAGCTGCTGCTCCCTGCCCCCTTTTCCAGAATAGAGCTGCGCCATTACAGCTCGTGCCTGCTAAAAAACATTTGTTTTGGCTGATTATCTTGTTTATCACGCTGAAATTATGCGTTTTAAACCATATGAGTTTAAACTTCTTTAATAGTATTCTGTGCTCGTCTGTGCAGCCAATGACAGAACAGTTAGCATGTTTTGCTCAAACTTTCGCCATGGCATTAGAACTAAAACACCGTTGTCGCTTGCGAAAACATAATAATGGCGCTGTGGGTGTAAACTTACAGA